TGATTAAATAAGTTAAAAATGATATTGATCGAATATATATCGAAATAATGCAATGTGATCCTAAGTTGAGCTGTTGTTGACAACTTCTTTGTGATGCTCTGAGTCTGACACATGTAGGATCGACTATAAACAACATTGTGATAACAAACTCAAATATCTATACTTCGATTCAATCAGATGGGCTCATTTTTTAGTTTTGTGATACAAGTACTACTACTAATTATTATTGCTGATCTTACTTGACAAATTTTCTCGATGGTGACGTAGATAAAAAAAAGTTGTCTAGCATCGCAAAATAATTTTCAATTTTTGCCAACAAAAATAAACTTCATGAATGATATAACAATGATTCTGGAATAGGAAATTTTTAGAAATCTAATTATTCTAAAAGCTAACTGCTATAATATTTCAAAACTTTAGAAGCATCAATATACTGAGCTTTGAAAGGAAGTCAGCGATTTAGCATACACGTCATTTCTTTCCTCATGCACATCTACACCTGATTTATATGAAAAATAAACTGTAAATAAAATTGCAAGATAAATTAAAAAGATTCAGCCTATTTGGATTGACTGAAACGGCTGTATTTCAATTTTGAATTCGTTTTTGATACAATCTTGTTTGATTGGAATTTCAGTATTATATCCTTGCAATTGAATTACATTTTTGATTGGTATATTTAAAAATTGTGAAAATTTATTCTAAATTAAAGAGAAGAGAGCTTTGAGGTTTTTCTCCGTAAAATAAAATAAAATTGAGATTAAAATTTGTAAGTAAAATCGATCTTGTTTTGTTAATTTCTAAATTTAAATATTTTTTTCTTAATAGCGCTTTTGAAGTGTTTCACGTTCAAACTATTCGCTTATGCTTTGATCAGTTAAAAATAAGTTCTTAGAGTGGATGTGGGTACACATGTTCCGTTTATTCAGACCCACACCCGTGTTAAGAAAAGATGAAAAAGATTCTTCCATCTTTCTGCGCAAGATCTGCTTTATAATGAATAAAGACTTTCCGTAGCTCGAATTTTCTCCAAATTCTATGTTAAAAAGATTTCTTTATTAAATGCAATGAAAAGTCAACAAAGATAATGCTAGCGTTTACTTCTTCCAGTGTTTCGCCTTTTGTACAATTCGTTTGGCTTGTTCAGTGCTCACTTCCTCTTCTTCATCTAGTTTATAGTCCATATCGTCCATCGTGACTTTTGAATCCATTACCGTTTTCTTGTATTTGCTTTTCATTTCTGACATGTCAACACATTTCGAATAGTATTCTTCAGCTTCTTTTGACGTCACTCCAGCTTTATTTTTCATTCGATGAGCATGCATCTTTTTGCTAGCCAAAGTATGTCGAATTCGTGCCGCCGTCTCGGTTTCATCGAGACCATCGGTGTGCGCTTGGTCCATTGCACGAACAATATCCTCTTGAGCACCTTGCATAAGACGATCCAACGATATTTCTTCACGTACACCACCAATGATCACTTGAGCCAACAGTTTGGCATTCACCATTGGTACATATTGTCCACCAGTAATGTACGCAAGTGCCATAAAAAAATCACGATAAGGTACTAAATTAGAATAGAAACAGAAACAAATCGACTTTCACACATTTCTCAAACGTTCTTTGAGAAAAAGCTTACCTATTGGCGGTTCGACACCGACAGTATAGAGTGTGATATTTTTCTCGGCCATTTCTCGTACGATCCTGATTGGGTCTAAACCGACTGGACATCCATTAGGAAAACCATCACCTGAAGGATCAAGTCCGTGTGGTGGTGCATCCGAAATGAGAATGCAAATTTTGGTAGCTTCAGGACGCCATGATAATTTTAGAATATCCTGAAGTGCGTCAGCAACTGCCTCAGGCTCGTCCCCACCGCCATCGGCTTTGCACTGCTCCAACCATCCTTTCATCTCTTTTACTTTGCTTGTAAAGTTGTGGACACGCGTTACAAATGTCGAGTCCTAATCCATAAAAGAATATAACGTTCATTATTATTTTTCATTATGTAGTGGAATCTAACCTGAGGTGGATGATCCCGATACTCGACGAGTGCTAAACGAACATCACTTTTCTCGCTAACGACAATTTCTTCGACAATTGAACGGATATTTTTAGTAGCAGCTTCGATATATGAACTCATTGAACCTGTACAATCCATTGCAAATGCCAGATCTAAAGTTTCAAATGTCTCGTCACATTACTAGATGGTCACTTTTCTCAAGCTTACCAAGAACCGATGAGTCATGTTTGACTAATTCAGGACGATCGGGCTTATCGATGTGGAGTGCAGCAGCCATTATAGACTAATCTGTGTGTAATGCTTTGAATGGAATAAATATGAAACGTAAGAATGAATGTATTTTTGTGTGCTCACTGCCTTTTTGTAAAGCTATCTGTCCAGATTCTTCCTGCGCCATATCATAATATTGTGCAATTTTTGTCTATGACACATTAAATGACACGGCATAGTATGACTCACACCACCTTTATACAATTATGTCAGCCAATGTAAGTATAAGAAAAAAATCGATTATTGTCTATGAAAAGCGACATCTGACTGAATCGGCTAATCGTATTAGGAGAAAAAAACAGTTGCAAACACTATACAGTGCGTTTACCAATAATTGATGGTAATTAAAAGATAATTCAAATATGACACATTGACATGTTTAGGACTGTTTGATGTGGTGTTTCTAGAAAAAGTTTGATACTTGAATTCAATTTGTTACAATTGTTTGCTAGAGATGACGAGTATCGTTTTAAAACATTTGTCACAGCTCCCAAAAAACCAGTCTAACCAGCGTGGTGTCATTGGGATATTGATATCTGACAAAATGAAGCTGTTCGACAGACAGATCATGTGTATTTCCTGAATGTTCAACCCGAACTTTGTGAAGTGATGAAAAATATTTTTTTCTAGGTTCTTCCGAACAACTAATCCCGTAAAATGAGCAATCGACCCACATCCAACCTTCAAAATTTTTCAAAATTTTGCTAGTATGTTCTTTCATCTACTGTCTCAAATCTCTGTTAACCGAAATTAACAACAAGATTCCTGAAATGCATGAAGGGGTTCCCACAAAACCTAAATTTTCAGTTTTTCTGGCTTTGAGAAATTGTTTAATCGACTTTGAACAAAGCAATTTTCGTCAACAACCTATTTTCTCAAAGAACTTGTTTTTAAGAATACTTTTCTATGTCATAACCAATTATTTCTAAGAAAAGAGATTCGTTTCCTAACAAGAAACTCACATGTTCACCTACCACGCAAACAATTCACACTTTGTGGATAAATGTATGGAATTATATGGATGCAGATCTTCACTCCATGTCGACGCACACTCACACTCACGATCTGCAAAGAACAAGAGAATCGTGTTAAATTGTAAAGCAGAAAATATTTATTAATAATATTGATTGTTTTGTTTCTTTAAGAGTTTCTTTTATGAGGAAGGGTTAATTTAGAACTATAAGCTGCTACTTCAGTTTTTTCAAATTTGTGTGGCGCTTTGCTACAATGTTTACAGAATTGATTGAATTCATTTTTAAAAATTTTTCTTCAAACATTTTCAATCCTAATTTTAGAATGAAATAAGTGGAGGTGTGGGTTTTCATAAACAGAAGCTCACATTCACCCACACCGACACTCACAACCAGTAAAATCATAAAATAAAGCATGACACAATTGTCAAGACTAAGAGCTGCACGATCGTCTTTCTTATTTGTTTGAAAAAGTCATCAAGATTCAAAGTGTAGTAAAAGTCAAGAGAGATCGATCGATAACCTTTTGAGACTTCTAGTGTTCTGCTGTGCTGATAACATTTCAGGTGCAGATAAGCAATGATACTTTAAAAGACATGTAAAAAATGCGTTTTTTTTCAGAGTAGAAGTGTGCAAGACAAATTTTTCTGGATTTTCAACTCTTTTTAAATAACAAAGATAAGCTTATTCAAAGCTGTGCAAGAAATGTAGAATTCATAATATGGTAAAATTACTTTTACACAATTGATTTTCAAAAATAATCTTAAACGAACAAATGAATATTCGACTTTAATAATGATTGCAATAGTTGATCGACTTCTTTGAACGGAACCTATAGTTGCATCCGGTATGAGTTTTTTCTTTACCAGTACCGATCTGAATTATCAGACCAGACCGAACCAACCGGCACAAGTCATTCTTCACCTTCTTGACCCTCTAAAAGTCAAAGAAACCCTGTATTTGTCGTGTCTATCTCTTAATCATTACAGTTATGAAGTAAGAACCTAGTCTCACTCAGAGTTGCCACCTTTTCTGCTTTTAGCAGAAAAATTCTGCTTTTTGAAGATTTTTATGCTTTTTTTCTGTCCTTTCTGCTTTTTGGGTTTTTTTCTGCTTTTTTTTAATATTGTGCTTTTTATATCTTCAACCAATGTTTTTAGATTTGAAGAACCATTTTCAAAAGTATAAAGATAAATTCTTATCAATACTTACTGGTGCCTTTGTTTTACTCTAATTCTTTTATTAAAAAAGTTATCATTTTCCACCGACTGTGAAAGACTACCAATGTATATTTTTCATTTTCATTTCGTTTTTTTACCTATATTTTCATTTTCATCATATGTTCTGTTTTCTGTTATATAGCACCTTCTTTTCTTTTCTGTTCAGCTGTTATATAGATGTTCCTGTTCTTTTCTTTTCTTTTTTCTGTCCAGCTGTTTCCATATGTTCGTGCTCGTCTGACCGACTTTTTCTAACTGACGACTCTTCTCAATAAAAATGATCACTGTTTTAATTCTTCTTATTGTTCACTATCTAAAAGGACGGCGAAGCTTCTTGTGTTCTCCCTTGAATAATTTCTTTATCTCTTCCATGTATATATACTCGATGTTTATCTAATAAAAAACAGTAACAATATTCTTTCATCCATCACATCTTATACTTAACTGTATTTATCTAATTTATACAAATAAATATCTGCGATTCTTGTTTTTACTTGACCAACGTCATTAATTAATATGATTAGTAATATTATTGATGCAGAAAAATTAAATGATGATGTTGATGAAAAAACGGCTGATGATGAAGATAAAACTGAAGTTCTGGTTACTGTCGAAAATTTACCATCGAAATCAATGGTACAACAAAATAAAAAGAAACGGAATAAAGGCGTTTTCAATAAAGAATGGTTAAAAATTGCCAAATATCAACGATATTTAAAAGAGTATAAATCGGATTCGTCTCAGGCAAGATGTATAGTCTGCAATCAGCAATTTTCTATTCATTATCGAGGCAAAAATGACATAGATAATCATATGAAGACTCAGAAACATCAAAACAATATGAAGTCTTTTGATGTGAATCAACAGTTAATAATAAATACTATGAAACCTTCCAGAGAAAAAGATGAAATTGCTGCAGCTGAATGTACTCTATTATATCATGGTGTGAAACATGGACATTCATATTTATCTCAACAATGCTTGACAAATGTATGTAAAACAACATTTGCATCTTCAACAGTCGCAAATAGTTTGTCATGTGCTCGAACCAAATCAACATCCATTGCTGTAAACGCATTAGCGCCATGTTTTACTCAACATTTACTTGATGATTTGAAAGTCTTCATATTTTTCTTTATTATATGATGCTAGTAACAAAGAAAATACAAAATTATTTCCATTTTGTGTTCAATTTTTGTCTGTTACAGGTGTTAGAAAAGGTCTGTTTTCTTGTTGAATTTGTTCAACTTATAGTTCATGGACATCCTTTTTTACTGTTTTAGGAATAATTGATTTAATTGATGATGCTGATGAATCAGCAATTAAAATTTTTGCGAATGCACGTCAATTCCTTTTGGATAAGGGTTTAGATATGCATGGATTAACAGTATTAGGAGCTGATAACACGAACGTCAATGTGGGTCATAATCATTCAGTTTATTCATTATTTAAAGATGAAGTACCTGATATTCTGAAAGGTACGGTAATTTTAGCTTATTAAGAAAGTTATGCATCTTTGTAATTCAATAGACCTTGCCAGTTTGGTCATCAGGAATTAATTATGCGTGATAAGAATTAATTTTTGAGTCCTTTCAAACTAAGTAATCCTCAATACCATATATGTTCTATTGTTGTTAGAAAAGATCGTTGTTTCTTTTTTAAAGTAAAAATATGTTTTATATTTTTTACTACTAGGCAATTGTTACAATCATATATTACACAATTCTGTTAAACATGCTCATCTTGTGTTGACAATTGATATTGAATAAATATTACTTTCTATATATTCTCATTTTTCACGTTCTGCAAAGCGAGTAAATGAATTACAACAATATTATGAATTCTATGAACAAGATTTTAAAGTAAAAATGTTTTGTCACTTGGTCTTGCTTATATACTAATCTAATTTACAAGACTTTCAATTATTGTTGTAGGTAATATTGAAACATATAAAACTGTGATTGTTAAGTCTATACTTATCCATCGAACGATTAGTAGAAGTATTTATCCTGGCAAAGAAATATTTCTTGGAACAACACGAAAATTGTCCATTGTAAATAAAACAATTTTTTGAGGGTGATGAAGTTCCGTGCATTTTAAGTTTTTTGCAACATGTATTATTTGAAATTCATCAGAAGAACCTCGAATTACAACGCTATTATACAACAGCTGTCGATTTATTTCGAGTAATCACAGCCATAAAAAATAAACTACAAGAACGTATTGATTCACAATTTTTTGGTGCGGCTTGTCGATATCGATTAGCACGTTTACCAATTGACACACAAAATATGTTAAAGACATCATTTATTGAATTTTTAAGTGAAATTATTTCGTACATTGACTCTTATTTCGATCAAAACGTAGTATTTTATCGAACAATAAATTATTTTAGAACGAAAATATTGAAGCTTTAACATGGAATCAAGTTATTCAATTTGTTGATATGTTAAAAATAAAAGACTTGAATGAAGATTGTTTATTCGATGAATTTACAAACATAAAATTAATATTTAAAACTATATCAGATCAAAGTGTTCCAATTTTTAATCAAGTTCAAGCATTTGTTAGAAAAAAAATGATATAACAGTAGCAAACATATGTGATGATGTAACAGACGTTGATGATGATTATTCAACAGGAATCAAGAGAGTGAGATCTGACCAATTATGGATGTTATTACTTTCTCTCACCAAATCACCAAATTTCGAAAAACTCATTTGTTTTTTATATTCATTACCTTGTAGCAATGCTTACGTTGAATCAGCATTCTCACAAATGAAACATTTATTAAATGATAAGAGAAGTCGTATGACAACAGAACTTATATCAGCTGAATTAAAAATACGTTTAAATTCAACTTTATCATGTACTGAATTATATAAATATATATTAAGTAGTGAATATTTGTTACGAGCTATTAAATCAAATGAAAAGTATACATTCAAAAGAAAATGTGTTCAATAATTATATTTATTTGTCTAACTAGTTTTTTTTTCTTGATTTTGAGCAATAAATATTAGATTTATATGTGAAAGATCCTTGTTACAACGCTGAAACAAAACTTAAAAACAGTTTTATATCAAACATATACTTTCTGCTTTTTTTCTGCTTTTTGATGATAAAACTTCTGTCAATTTCTGCTTTTTGAAAATGATTTTCTGCTTTTCAGAGTTCAAAAGGTGGCAACACTGTAAGAGACAATAAGAAAATTCAACGAGTGATATATTTAAGATAAGATAAAAGTGGAATATCGAGAGAGAAAAGTACTCTTGAACAGTTAACGTTGACAAAAATAAATAACGAGAAGCTATTATTGTGAAATCAAGAAGAGATAAAACGTCTCAAACAATCTGTTTTCAATGCGTGAAAATCTCTCATTGGAAGCAGAACAATCCAAAACCCTTCTCGAGAATATTGATTGCGTCACTATATAATAGAGTATTATTCACTTCGTCTTAAGAAAGAATGGATTAGATCTTGACAAGCCATAAATGGTATAGCTAATCGAGATTTTCGCATAGATGACAAATATTTTCGAATAGAAATAGAACCTTCAGAAGTCTGACAAACTAGAGATATTAAAACGCAGAAAATGGCACGTGTAACAACAGCGTACACTACCATGTTATAGTAACTAGTTCAATCAGGTGAGAGTGCGTAGGCGGCTAGATGAAGGCGGCTAAAAAGTAGCTCTATGCATGCTCTGATCTGATCATATTATAATATCCCAGAAAAGGTTAAGATATTATCAAGCAACACTGGTAATCTTTCTGTAGCTACCTAGTATGCGGGAATGATGTGAGTCTTGCTCATCGTTGTCGATATAACCACATCCACACTCTTCGCACATCTTCAGATTGAAGAATGAATCAATATACTAGAAAAATAATACTGAATAGAGTAGGCTATACAATACGAGTTATGGATGACTTGTTCTGCTAGTTTTGAAATATAGATAGAGCAATATATTGTCTATCATAATATCATTTTATTAGATCGATATGCTAAGCTAACCTGATATTGGATAGCTGAATTTATTTTATATGCGACAATTAAAACTAAGTTTTCTCATCAACGACATTAGATTGAATAGTCATTCTTGCAAAAATCGATAGATGATATTGAAATCTACCAGATGCGAAGAGCATCTCATTTTCAATCATCAATCTTTGTAACTTCTGTTAGGAAAAGTACATAAGCGAGTGAATGAATAGAAGAAGAGTGTGGTACAATTAAAACACGTTCGCTCACAATAATACACAGGACGTTCTCCTCTACAAGCGTAGAGAAATATCTAATCTATATTTATTACCAATAAATTGTATGAGTGTGAATCAAATGAAATTTTGTCTTCTCTAACAAGACTTGTAAAACTTACAACGAATTTTTCGATGTTTACTGAGACTATGCAGCAAACCAATATCAAAAATGCAAGTCAACAAGGTACCTTTTTAACATTATAGCTAGCAATGACATTTTTACTTCTACTTTACTAGTCCATAATGTCATCACTATTTACTAGTGAATATCAAAGCAGTTTATTTGCTTTGTTTTATATGATTTGCATGATCCTTGTGAAAATACAATTTAACTCGGAAGAATATATGCCTTGCTTTTTGTCAATGACATCAAGTCGTTAGAAAAAAAAACAATTTTTTCAGGAATAATTAGTGAATGAAATAAATATTTTTCAATCACGTAAGAAAAATATTTTTTCAATGGGACACTATCACAATTGTAGTTTAGATTGTTCTTTTTTCTGTCGCCATTCTTGGCATGATTTAATCAAACAACCTAAGTAAGACTATTTCCACTAAAAAATCATATTTTAAGTGGGTAGGTATGGATGTTTTTACTTACTTTCTCAGATATATGCACGCTCCCACACTCAAAATCGATACATACCACCCAGCCATGATTGACTTAATAATAGTTATGGTACTCAAATTCGCGCAATAGTTCTATCAGCATTATTATAATTGCTCTATACGAAGTATCCTTATTTTCATATAGAGCAGAAGGAATTCGACATAATTTTGTTTGGTTTTTTCGAGAGATTTAAATACTGAGCTGTAAATTGATGCATTAGATCATATACTCTCGAGTTAATATCAACACAAAATATTAACTATCACAATTTTCAATATTGAATCGAAGTTTAAAGATGCTTCTAAACTATTCGATGTAGTTTTGCAGTAAAATTTGGCTAAATTAATCGTTGAGAATTGAAATATTTATTAGTTTGTTTATGGATGAAGATTAATGGTTTCCTTTCAAAAGATAGGTGTTCGAATAAATTTATTCATCAATAAGAGATTTTGAAATATTGAAAAAGAGTGTGAGTGTGGGTGAATCTAGACAAAGACCCATACACACCTTTCAGCCCATTGTTTTTGTTCAGATGATCATCACTTCGAATTCTCGACTTTTCCCGTAATCATCGTTCGCTGAATTTTTTTTAGACAAATACCTATGGTGGAATACAATTTGCTGATGAACGAAAAGTTAAACCTATTTGAAACTCTTATCCTTCGCCTGTAGTTTAATATAAGGCAAATAGTCGATTTCATCCTATTCAACATGATCCACAATACTCGATATTGTCGATAATGCTCTAATTGTTTCAGTTAGAAAGCACGTTTTTGTTGCAGTTCGCTTTTCAAGTTTGATATATCTAAAGAAATTCATAATGCTTGATCCCACTTCGATAATGTACTTATGCGATATTAATGCTGTCACGTTAGATGTGTGCTATGAGTTTTAAGATATTTGATTGATATTTCCAGAAGAAATTTGTCGTCACGGAGGCCGCCAGACATGGCAACCATAGATGATTTTCAGGCATCCCCAGAATTCGTTTGCGCCACCTTATAAAGAATCATATAACTAGGATGATTGCATCCGATCTTATAGCATCCCCAGCAGAGTTGATACTGCCAACGACCGAAATATTGTACATGCCTAAAAACAGAATATAGTCAATACTCAAAGTTTCAGTACCCAAAGACTTCTAGCAAGGTGCAGCAATTTCTGGAAGTAGATGGAAAACAACGTCGACGGCGACAGGTCACGAGTTTCTAAAAATTGAGGGTAAATTCATTTGAGCTGAGAATCATTTTTAGATGTGTCTAGCAATTTTTCATGCTACTTTTTCTATAAATTCTGGCTGAAACTATGAGTTCGTTCAAAAAACAAGTTTGTGATTTCATCTTTGCTACAATAAATGTGAAGGCTAGTTCAATCCTCGAAACTCGATTGAGCACTTTCTACAGAAAAAGTCGTGACTTATGCAAAACAGTTGATAGAGACTGATGAATAAGGATCTAATCTTTTGAGAAGTCTACGAATGTTAATGTCAAGTAACTAAACGGTTATTGTTAGTTTCCTGACCATTCTGTACAGTTCCTTGATTGAAAAAGGAACTCTTTGTACTCACTTACATATTCATTAATGAACTGCCATTCGGATAGTGTTGTAAAAAGCCGTATTACTGAAGCTGATTGGTTTATCCAAAGGAATGACAATGCAGGTTCCTGTATGCTGGTCTGCTATTCGATAGACTGCTAAACAGCTTTTCCATATAGCTTTTATGCTGTAACATGATTATTCAAAATATACTCTCAGTGCCGAACACATGCAGACTGCCGAGCACAGCAACTGGGTTTTTTGACGAATCTGATAAGGTTAGTCATGAAGAAAAGGATGAAAATGTGTGTTTTTTTACGAACCTGGTGACGTTAGTCAAAAAGGAAAGGTAGAAACTGAGTATTTTTTCTTCACATTCACATGACGAAACATCATTGCACACCATATTTCATTTTTATGACTGAAAAACACAGTGCACAGCAGTTGTAATATCACAAAATGTCTTTGTCTATCGAACATTTACCTGTCGAACTGTGGCTTATGATTTTCTCCTTTATTGAGGGACATGAATTACAAAGAGCATTTTCACACCTCAATTCCTTTATCACTGTCCTTCTTCGTTCGCCTCACCTTCGTGTTTACTTGAATGTAAAAACAGGTGGATGCAAGGAGTTAAGCCCATCTGGTATGCTCTTTTGCCATGAAGCACTTGCGACATTGCATGCTAATATCCGTGGCACATCCGATCTTCTTATTTTCCTCAATGCCGCTCACACACTTTCAGGTCTTCGCTCGCTCTCACTCCATATACGTCGACAAAAAAATTATCGTCTGCTGGTTTCTGCACTACCTCGACTTACGTGTCTACAACATCTAACAGTCTCGTGTGGTATCTTTAGTGCTGATCCTACTATGGTGCCGCTTTACACTGAAATACTAAAACTCCCACAATTACGAATGTGTGAGCTTCGACTGTCACGAGACAGTTTCTTCCTACCCGCATTTCATCCGAATTTGCCGATTAGTGGTTCTCTGCGGCACTTTCATGTAGACTCTTGGATCCGATCTGCTGATTTATGCCATCTTGCCAAGTTCATGTCTTCACTACGCTTCCTGAATGTTTATCTTTATCATCATAATAGGAGTAGTTGGAATGATCTTTCGTTTCCTCGACTAACCAAAACGGCATGCCTCTCCTTAATCAATGAACATGTCGACTTGAAAAGCCTTGTTCAAGCAGCACCGAATCTCATGCACTTTCATCTTCATATTGAACCTTATAATGGTCAGTTTACTAAAGAATTCTTTGAGGCACACAGACTTACCAGTTCTGAAATGAAACGTATTCATGTTCAAATGACTTTGAAAAAAAATATCAACTCTAATATGCTCGAACTATTACCACCTGTTATAGTTCAAGGACAAAAGCTCGTCAAAGAAAATTCGGATGAAGGAAGGGCCTTGCACGAATATGATATCGTTCAGAAATGTTTTAACTTTGTTTAAAATGCTTATTATCTATTCTTCTTCGTATTATTATTGCTGTTGGAGCATGCGGGACTCTGATATTCTGTTGGTAAACAAAAAAAGCGCAGAGA